ATCTTTATTGTTGCATTCTTATATTCATTATCCCATCGTGTGTATCTTACAGGAAAAAATAACGCATTAAATTTGCCTCGATTCTTTTTTCTTTTCTTTTTCAATTTTTATTTTTTTGTATCGATTTTTACTTGTTTTATTTTGTTTTAAAGGATTCCTAGCATAGCACTCAACCTAATCGTTGCAACCATCCAAATCCTCTCGCGATCATCATACTATATTTTGCTGAGACATCGAACGAAAAGATCGAGTTCCTTCATGCTGAGAAACAATTCGTAGAATGAAAACAGGTGTAATGAAGGGGTTGCTGCTGATCTTGATCCAGGAAAATAATATATAGTTCGAGTAGTATGATTAGGGCAGTTGGTATAGTGAAGCCAAGTCGATGTGTACATGTCTATTTAAAATGTTGGTTATTTAAGAAAATGTTTTATAAATAAAAGATGATATTCCATTGGTGGAAGATGTGGGATTGTCTGGGAAGTAAATACATATAAATAAACCTTCGGTTATTCATATTCAAATATTCCTCGAAAAACAGTTGATTGATTTACTGGTCTTCCGTAAACTTACACGCTAGGCTTCATGTTCATGTCCATATTCATTCGTCTTTATTAGCAAAGGGTTTTCCTTTCTTACTTACGCACACTGTTTCAAACTTTCTGGCTGGCATTTCGTATACAATTGTAGTTTAATTGATTATTTTATTTGTTGATATATATGTAGGCTATATATATATATATATATTAGTTTTGGCCCAATGTAATGTTATCTTCTATACAATTGTATGGCTTTCTGGCACCTTTGTATTCTCTGTATACGTTGGCTCTTTTGTTTTAAAGGCATCTTTCCACATCCCTCATTTATTTTGCTTAGTTTTGAGTTGGAATGATGTTTAAAAAAAGTGTAAAAGCCATTGGGGGGGGGGGGGGAGTATTCACTTATCGAAGCCTAATAATTAAAGAAATTGAAAGAAAAAGAACGATGGTGCATTTYAGGAAAATTGATAAAATCTGCTGAAAGCACTGATATTCATAGAAAGAATTTCAAATGACACATTTTAGTCATATTGGCCGTCCTGAAGCTCACTTATATTGACTCATTTTGTGGTTCGATGTTAATCCCTAATATGGTAATGTATTACTGATTTATTTCATTGATTGACAAATTTTGACTTGGCTTAACTTTTCATGATCAGTCGTAGAGGAAGTGCTTGAACGTTAATCTTATAAACCAAACTTTTGCCCACTTTTTCCCCCTCGTGTTTATTTATTTATTCCTCACAAATACCCTATAGGCCTACCAGGTTAATCATTGTTCTCCCTTTTCAGGCCCCGAATGTACATGTCATTTCCTTGGACATAATTTCTATTGTTTACAATAACGTTTGAGATGACACATAAATATGGATGACACTAAAACAAATAATTTCATTCTTAAGGGAAAGAGATTTGGACAGTTAGAGTAGATCTCATGCAGTGGAAGGCGGTGAAAACAAAAGCAAAACGTAGGTGTGTTCCCTAAGTGGCAGTTACATTTTTATTTTTCATTACTTTTAGTTTTACTAAGATTCTAGTCCTACATACTTCTGTTTTTAAACTCTGTATGTATAGTATATTTTCAGTTCCAGACATGAAAGAATTGCTTTGGTTGATACTGCCCTTTGTGACGTTGACTGGATCCGGAAGTAGGTTAACACAATTTTCTTCCTTCTAATTCTGTATTTACTGGCAACATGAGCTTAAAAACCACGAATCAATAAAATAGTGGTGTTTTCCTATACTGCCATGATGTATTCAATACTTCACATCTTGTAATTTACATAGTTTATTTTTCTTACAGCAGTAGCAGCAGCAGCAGCAGGCACAAATGTCACAAACACAAGGTAATAACGGTAATTGTTATATAGCTACGAAATTTTCCAATATAACGAACAATCTCGATCATTGGTTGAAAGATGAACGCGTGACACTAGCTAAATCTAAATGTATCCCGGCCGGGAAAAAAGTTGAGCTTACCTCGTGAAACATCGATTTTCTCGGGAAAACAAAACTAGCTATTTCCCTCGCGACCAGACATTAAGTGTATATTAATGGATTTTTTGTTGTCAACCTTGTGTGAAATTATTTCATTGCAATGTAATTGTATATGACTAGGTCACGCGATAAAACTTGGTTTTGGATTTCTTTCTTTCTTTCCTTTTCTCTTTCGTTTTCTTTTTTCTTTTGGATAAAATTGACCCGAAAATTGTCTACTACTTACCAACGATTCCGGAATAATTAATGATCTACATTTAAGCCTAAAAACGCATTAACATTACGCACAAAGAAGAAGAAGAAAAAAACAGCAACCCATTCGTGCAAAAAGAAATCGCAACTGACAATTCTAATTCGCCTTTAATACGTTTTAGGTGTGTTCCAGCTTACTCAAAAATCAATGCAAGTTTTTTAGATGAAAAGTGTCGCGCCTATGTGTATCCTAAAGATGGCATCTGTAAAGATATCGTCGTAGAGAATAGGCTCGTGTTTGGGAATGAATCGTTTATTCGATGGAAAAATAAGTCTCTGAATAAGATTATGTACGGCAAAYACGCAATGGAAACATCTTATACGTTTATGGTTGCAAAAGCTTGTGTAGAGGCAATAGCCGATTCTTACTGTCGATGGGTATTCCCAAAGTGTGACCAAACCTCGGATCGGCCTTTACCAAAACCTCTTTGCCGAGAAACGTGTGAACATACTCATAAGACTTGTCCAAAAGAAATGGATCTGTTAATAGTGTACAATACAAAGGATAAATATGGTCGTTCTCAATGGCATATTTTGAACTGCAGTAATGCACCTTTGAGAAATGGCGGAGACATCCCAGAATGCTATTACAGCCGACACCTAAACAGTAAGTATAATCACTTGCATGCTTAAAGTGCCTATCATAGTGATAGGCACTTTAACATTGAAACTATTTTCCAACAGCGTCGGGCATTTTTTTAACATACCTATTTCAAAAAATTAAGTTCGTCACCTTATAAAAAACATAGATGAGATGGACAAGGGATATGGGTGGATAAGATATACATGTATCAAGCATGCTACAGTTTATATCAAAAGCTTTACTGCTTATTTGATATATAGTGTTTCACATAATCCTGAGTGATCTCCGCTTTCCATGTCCATCTTTGGACGGCGTGCCTTTATCGTGAAGTATATACTTACAGTGTACCTATAACATTTTCCTCCAGATGAAACSGACAAGCTGCAAGGAAATGGTAAGTCTTAGTTTGAGCAATATTTAAATTATTTATCCAGAACTATAATTGATGATCCCATTACTGAGAAAAATAGAGGTAAATTTGCTAATAAAATATTAATATTTCTATAGTTTGTTACTATGGCAACGGCCTGGGTTACCGTGGTAACGTAAGCGTAACAAGGTCAGGTCACGTGTGCCAATCCTGGTCATCTCAGTGTCCTCATCGTCACGATCATCCTTTGTCTGAGTATCCAGAGCTGGTCAATGCGTCCAACTGGTGTCGTAACCCTGGAGGTCAAGGACC